GCGGAGGCTGGGAAGGCCGTTGGGGCAGGAATGTGGTCAGATTTCCCTGGCCCGGGGGCAAAGCGCCCATCCCACCACTCACACCCACCCGCTGGGTCTGGGCTGAGGACACGGCCAGCTGTCCCAGCACTGCCCCCGACCAGCTCGCTCTGTGGCCTGGCCGGGCCATGCCACTCGCTGAGACTGCCCTCGTCTGGAGGACGGGGACAGGGCCACGCTGTGTTGAGAGTTTGGAAGGAGATGTGTGGGCAGAGCACCCCTGGGCGAGTCTAGCGAGGGTAAGTCCCGGGACACCGGCTGCAGGCCAGGGCCCCCCGGTACTGCCACAGCCTGCAGGCCCCAGGGACCCCCTTCCAACCCTTTCCCAGCGAGGGAAGTGGGAAGATCGTGTCTGGCGCGCCCACTCCTGAGGGAGCGACGGTGTGCTCCGCTCCACTCACAGGCCCGTGTCCCCGCCGGCAAGACCAGCCCTGAGACCTCCAGGCCACACGCTGGGCCGGTTCCAAAGCAGAGGGCGGGCGGGCTGGACAGGGCCACGTGAAGGGTGAGGAATGGGCTCCTGGCTGGGGTCCCTGGGCGCCAGTCCCTCTGTGTGACCCTGGGGGAAACTGAGGCTGCGGGGCTGCTTGGTGACAGTCCGAGGGTCCGGAGGACAAAGAGCAGGCCAGTCCCCAGCCCTGCCTTTCACGCGCCCTCTGCAGCAATCCCGAATCTCACTGACTCTTTGGCCTTGTCTTTCCTCCCTCCTGTGTGGGCCCCTCCGGCCCCCTCCCTCCACTTCCGCACTGAGGGCCCTGGCCTGGCCCAGCCCCCACCCTCAGCCCAGCCGCGGCCGCTCAGAAGCTGCTGGCTCAGGAGCCGCCAGCTTTTGCTGAGTGAGCGAGTCCAGAGGTGCTGTCTTGGCACAAAGCACCGCTGGCCAAGGCCTCTCCCTGCCCCCTCCCCAGGGTCCTCTTGGAGGGGGAAGTGTGTGGATTGGTCACAGAGGCTGGTCCCCCCACCCTACCCCCCACCCCGCTCCACACTGCCTCTGGGAGGGAGGGTCCTGAGGCCAGAAGGGGTGGGGAGGCCACTCGGCAGGCCAGGGAGAGCTGGGTCCCGGGGCAGGAAGTGGGTCTGCCTTGCCTGGTGGTTGAAGAGCCTTTTTGCTGGCCATGGCCAGTCCTTCTTCTTTGGTCCGCCCTTAATTTGCATAAAATTTGCATTAACAGTAACAACAGAAGCAGTTCCCACTTAGGTGCCTCCTGTGTGCCCACGTTGTATGCACATCTCTCTGCACTCACTGGCCCTTGAGGCAGGACCATGGAGATTGTCCACACTCTACGGAGGTGGAAACTCAGATTCTCAACCCTGACGAATTGACAGTCACCCGTTGGACAACCAGAGCCAAGCACCCACTGGGTGCTGACCACCTACTGTGTGCCACACCGAGCCCTAGGCCCTGGGCCGGCGTGGTTGTGGTGGACACAGATGAAGGAGTCTTGCCCCCAAGATAGTTTGTGTTTGGCCATTCTGCCCTTGTGACAACCCTGGTGCCGTCATCCCCATTTTATAGATGGGGAAACCGAGGCCCAGAGTGGCAGGCAGGTGTGTTGCCCAGGGTGGGTCCCTGGGCTCAGCTCTCGAGGTCTCAGAACTGCATCCTGTGTTTGCTGTTTGCCTCGCAGCCAGCCCCACCCGGACGAGGGCCACCCCCCGCCCCTCGAAGCTGTCCCGGTCTCCTGGAAGAGCGCGGGCTCCTGCCAGAGCCGCAGGGAGTCCCCGGGAGCCCTGGCAGAGACCTCTGCAGGGGAGGGCACCCAAGGCGAGGAGGGCCCTGCCGCCGCCCAGCTGGACGTGTCTCGCCTGCGCAGCTCGTCCATGGAGATCCGCGAGAAGGGCACAGAGTTCCTGAAGGAGGAGCTGCACAAAGCCCAGAAGGTGGGGGCCGGGGGGCCTGGGAGCTGGGGCGCCCCGGATGCCCAGAGGCCTCGGCACCCGGCAAGGCCTGCGCGGGCGCGGGGGAGTGCAACAAAGGACAGAGCAGTTCTAGGGTGACTTGTGGAAGGGGGATCCCCAAAAACCTGTTCCAGCCCCGACGCACTGGCAATCGGGGTTCCCCTCCTGCCGGCAGCTGAATGGAAAACACCTCATAAACTAGAGCAGCAGAGGCAAGCTCAGCCCCTCACCCCCCGCCCCAAGATGACCCTGGAAGGGGACCTGGTTGCCCCCGTGTCAGGCCCGAAGGCCCCTGGGGGGCTGACAGCCACCCACCTGGTGCCCCCAGGAGCTAAAGCTGAAGGATGAGGAGTGTGAGCGGCTGTCCAAGGTGCGGGAGCAGCTGGAGCGGGAGCTGGAGGAGCTGACGGCCAGCCT